CAACTTCCCTCCGGACGCATTTCTGAAGTTGCTGCAATTCAAAAAAATCAAACCAAGATGGAATATCCGAATATGACTAGGCCTGTGTCTGCAAGGCTCGCTGCCCGGGGTGGCTGGGGTCGCCTGACAATTCTAAGTTATGTTACGATCATGTTTGCTTGAATGCAAAACACTAGCCCGGCGTTGGGGAACGATGATGAGACTGCTGCGTTGCACCAAGTCACCTTGAGTCTTGAGTTTGATATGATATACTGATATACTGTGATACACTGCAACAGCGTGTCATTCACAACATAGACTTTGAGGTGCAGGCCGTTGGAGTTGTACTTCGCGGTGTAGCAATGATGGGAGCTGCAACTTCCCTTGGGAACGGTGAAGGAAAGTCCTTCTCTGCCAGCAACCAACACTCTGTTGTGAGACGCAGCTAAAAACAAAACACTGCCCCAAGAGATCATCTGTGCTTGCCGGCACTTTCACATGAGCTACTTGAGTGGGCCACCGGTATCTGCAAGGCTCGCTTCCTGGAGTGACTTGCGCAGCCTGACCACGTAGGCAGCGCAAATTGCAAGTCTCCTCCACTCAGTGCCCTTAAAAGGAATTCAGTCAAGTTGTCCTAATTTCGGCCCAGGAGTTAAGAACTTGCAATACTTCTCCACCATCCAAGGCTCACACCTTGGGCTGTGTTAGAGGGGCTGTACCGGCATGGCACCAAGCGACCTAAGGAGTTCACAAACCGTAAAATGACCCAAAAACGAACTGCAAGCTCGAACCAAGGCTGTAGCCGTCGGCGATGTGCTTCGTGGTGTGACCATGATCGGAGCTGCAACTTCCCTTGGAACTCTAAGACATAAAAAAGGTCTCCAAAGTTGGTTGCAGTATTATAGTTGAGGACCTGTGTCATTGGGACCAAGGCGAAGATTGTAAGGCTTTGATCTTCGGAACTGCCTAGAGCTTTTCTCTCTAAGGGAGAGGAACCGAGAGGCAGAGTGAAAAGCAAATCAAGCAAATCAAGCAACTGCGAGAAGAGAGTTGACTGTTACGCAGCCTCGCTCCTTGCCGATGCACTAGTGCCTTGCACAAGCAAAGCACCCGATTGTCAGCACCATTGAAGCACCCAAATGATCCCAAGCGTGGGAGTACAACGTGCAACTTCTGAGTGCCAGCTGCTTTGGACCTTGGGCATCAAACAATGAAGATTGAAAAATCAGTCCACGTCTGCCTTCTTCCAGCGTGCTCTTAGGTTTTGGCAGAAGCTTGCGCCGATTCCCCACTGTCGCTCGACACCATTCGACATTTCATTGGAATTTGCTGTCTTTGCACAAGAACCCTCAACCGCACATGTGGAAGGAGTCTTCTGGCAAAGCTAGGATCATGGTCGTAGGCTAGTCTCTGCTGGAAATTGGAGTGGCTGGAAATGGTTTGGTGCAAATAGTATGCTGTGCAAGCACAAGGATTTGTCGCATGCCGACCCATCTGACTCGCTCATGGTTCAATGGTTCAATGTCGCCCGATAGCATTGGCCTCCAACTTCAACCTACAGTAATAGCAATGGCCTCTAGCGATGGCCTTCAACCTAAGAGCAATGATACAATTTAAGCTGGCAGGGCTGTGTGCAGTGCAGCCAAATGCCGGCGAATGCGCCATCTGCGGAGTTGAGAGAGGTTGAGAATTCTCTCTGCAGAACGAGTTGGGAATTCTCTGCGTTCCATTCTTTTGTTCTCATTCGGCTGCACCTCTCGGTTTCCTGCACGTTCCAACCGGTCGGCAAACTTCCTGACCCAACTGAAACCTTCAGAGATTGATCATGAGAGTGTGTCTTGTGCCTCAGACTCAACCAACCTTGGGCTGCAGGGAGCATCTTCTCCGTGCCGAGCCCATGGAAAAGAGCTCGGTATAAGCTGTGGCACTGTGAGCAAAAGGAAGCAATGATTTTTTTGAAACGTCGAAATTGCGTGACGTTAATCGGCTTCAGCTCGTACCGGGCAAGTCTGGGCAACCACCAAGATTGGACTCAGGCCAGTCATTGATCCTTCGAATAGAATCAATGGAGATTGCTTTGAGTGACACGCTTGTGAAAGAACTAAGGGTCCTCATCCTCAGGCAACACGGTCAAATCCAAGCTCTCTCCAGTGATCTTTTTCCACCTGGCACCAAATTGGGCACTTCAGGGAAATCCTAATGCACCTGATGCTTTCTCACCCAAGGTCGGTACAAAGCAAGCACTTCGGTGGAGGCATCTTCAAAGTGGGAGGATGGATCATAGCTGGCTGTCACGAAAACACCGTCCTAAGTTGAACAAGGGAAGATTCTATGAATGCAATCGCATCTACTGAAAGAACTTGAATTCGGAGCATAGAAAGCCCCTCTTCTCAGCCCAGAAGCAGCGGCGCCGTCAGTGACTGGATCCCGAATTTCACTGATCTGCACAAACCTAGGTGGGATGCGTCTAATCTCTGCAAATGAGCCATGGCCTGTTAATCTTCTTTATGCAATAAGTCCTGTTGGATTTGCCCGCCGAGAGCCAAGCTTGTACTGGATGGGGCCCAACAGCTTCAGAGCAGGCTCAATCTCTTTCTCTGGATCTGGCACATGTTGCAAGATGTCTCAGATCTTAAGACAATCCAAACTTTTGCACATGAAGAGAACGAGCAAATTTTGTCCATGGTTTGGAGGGCGGCGGCGTTGAACAACACATATCATATTCACAATACATGTGCAACAAACACCAGGCAAATCCTTGGGAAATACATTGCTCAACAAACAGGCTGGATAGGCTTGGAGTCTCTACAACAGTGCTGACGATGGCGACATATTTGTCCTAGAGGGATCTAGAGGGGCTCTCTTCCCCGATCCAAGGTTTGTGACTGTATGCTGACTATCTTACCTACTGCTTGGAAGACGACGACCTCACAACACTTCCTCAGAATGCGCTCTCCTTTGCAGCAATGGAGTGCGCCCACGAAACCATCCTCCAAATCACCATACGCGACTTGGCTATTACTTGGACATTGAAATCATCAAAAAGAGGCTTCTGGGATGCCAGCATGACATAAACATCGTTCTTTCGCTTTAACCTAAGACAAAAGCGGCAAAGGATTCAAAGGTTTCTCCCTTTCAGGACCTCCCCCTCCTGGAGTAACTACAAGTCTTCAGACAATTCTCTGAGTGTGCCAAGTAGCTGCTTTTGAGGCAAGATGATTTGGCATGACAGGGCAGGCTTGCCCTCCTGGAGACGAAAACCCCACCAGTGGACCTATTGTCACGAGCGGCTCTTGCCTGGTTCTTCGTCTCCGGGATGGGAGCACCAAGAATGCCTACGGCTTCTTTAGATTTTGATCAGGGATCTACTGTAGATTGTTATATAGATATATAAGTTTAGTTCTTGTGTATCCCTTTCTCTTCAAAACTCGTAGGTTGCCATCTCTTGATATCATTGACTGAGACCGCATACGACCTGGGATCCAGACAAATGGCACGGATCACCTGGCCCCTAACCTCGGTCCTGAGACCAGCGCCAATGCACTTGTTATTTGTAGCTTCTTGCTACTAGCGATGGCCTCCAACCTAGTAGCTTCTTGTTACGAGTAAGAATGCTACTAGTAGCGATGCCAGGAGCCCTTAATAGCTTCCTTGCTCCTAGTAGTAAGGCCAGGAGCCCCTAGTAGCTTCTTGTTACTTGTAGTAATGCACTTGTTACTAGTAACGATGATGAACAAAACATGTGGTTTTCCTGGTCGGCTCGGCATAGGAAGGATCGCAAATCACCATTTTGCACCTTAGGATGCTGCACAATCAGCCATGCTCAAATATTCTTCGGGCCTCCTCAAAGGTTCATGCTTTGCTTGACTTAGCATCCTTCAAGTGGTGAAAGAAGGAACACTGAGAGACATGTTGAGAAAGAGAGAGACACATGTTGAGCTGGATTCAAAAATGAACTGTGTTCCGATTCTTGTCATCACAAGAGCATAATATCATAATATGATTGTTTGCCTGCGAACCGGAACAGTGTAAAGTGCTTGACCGAAAGTTACCGACTGAGTGTGCAGCTTTGCGACCTCATCCCCTGACCGGACACCACACACCTGAAAGACTGAAGTCTCAGAACTGCAATCCTTTGTCAGAGTCCGGTCCTTCATGTCTTTTTGGGTGCGTTTTGGGTTCACTTGTCGTTAGTCCAACTAGGGCCGGCACGCGGCCCTGTTCGTCATAGACAAATCCATCAACAGACTTGTTCAACCTCAAACACTTTATCGGTTTTAAAGTTTAAAGGATCTTAAAGGGCTGATCATTCATCGAGCATGAGACGTCGTACAGCAGACAGAAAGAATTGCCAACCGCTGCCCAGTCACATGTAAGTTCCCCTGTGAATGGCTGCCAGTCGAGAGAAGCCTCATGGCAAACACTGCTCTAAGGAAGGGGTGTCAACGCGTCTGGGAGCCCTACCCTCGGGCAAACCACCCAAGCCGTAGATCGGGTAGATGAAGGGCGAACCTGCGGATGGAAGGCAGATGCAGCAAACAGCTAGAATGTGTTCTTCTGGAGGACATCAATCTCAATATCAATGGCCTCCATACTGCAGGACTGATTGCAGGTATAGCCTGCACAGCACTGTTGAACGTCTGGCACCCTCGCACGCTTGCAACCAAAAGAAGGAAGTCTCTCGCTTCGGCCTGCACTTCTGAATAGTTGGACCACAGGGTCCGTTCAGGTAATTGTCATTTGGCCACCTGAGGTGGCGGCGACACATCGGTGGCACCGTTGATGGACCATGCTACCCCAAACACACGGGAACCACTTCTTCTCAGTTCGCTGCAGGGCCACAGCATGGCCAATGAAGTCGATGGTTGACTCTTGGAGACCAAACCTAATGCAAAATCAATGAAACAGTATGGAACAGTTTTTCTTCGTGTTATTTTGCCGGGGGGGCAGCTGCTAAAGGAAGAGCTTAGCTAATTAGGTACTGGACGCTCCACGCGGGATACCACACGCTATAAATGTGGTTCCAATATTGTTCAGAAAAAGTTGGAAACGGGTACGCTAAAATAGCTAGTCAGAGGATGTCAGGGGTAAGACTAGTAGTTTAAGTGTATAGTTCCTAGGTTTGGAGGCACTTTCTGCATAGGTGTTTTCAAGGTCTGCCTTGAAGCACCCCTTGTATGATTGATTTGGCTCATAATTTTGGAGGAACTTAACTTGTTTGTTCTTTCCATGTTCTCCTTGTTGAATTAGTTATCACTAGTTTAACTGTTGAACATACGGGCACTTGCTAGTCAAGTCATTTGAGTAACAGCAAGCGGAGTGCCAACAACATTGCAATCAACAGTAGAACAAAGGGTCCCGGCAAAACACCAATGTCCTTCCTGCTTGCAAGGGCTTTGAGCGGCAGGTCTCGAGGACGGTGCAACGGCGCAGAACCAAGACAGTACGAGATCTGCTAGAGTGGTAGCTGTGGTAGCAAGAAAAGGATGAGAGGTAGGTCCACACTCCACACAGTGGCGAAGACATATTAATACATAAATCATGGCAGTCTTGGCAGCAGTTGTTTCTTTCACTGCGACTCCTCTTTTGTCGTGTCGGGGCGATGTGCCCTGCTTCTGCAGGATGAATGCAAATCATGGCATCATCGCGCATGTGTGCGTGTGTCAACTCCTGTTTCCAAGGAGGGGTGTCACACTCAAACATTTGTATAGATTAGCAGGGGGGCAGAGAGGACTTGCAAAGCTCTGCCCAACGAAGCTCTTTGCAACAGGCCTAGGAAGCTGGAGCTGATCACTTCCGTGTACCTGCACAATTTTTCAATCATCCTTCCTTGTTAAACTGTTGATTGGTTGCTGTGGTCCCCTGGTTTGTTTTATGGTGGTTCATGTACCTGATGTTATTCCACACTCACCTTTAAACCTCGTCGTTTCACCTTTGGATGTGATTCTTAGTAAAGCTTACCGCTGTCTAGTGCACTAAAGTGGTATTGCAGTAACTAACTACAGAGTGAGTTTCCAAACTGATAGAGCTCTTGCAAGCATGGATCTATATAAGTGTAGATCGATTCCCTTAGGAAGGGCATCAACGACTCGATAGAATGGTAGTAAGGGGTCGGCTCAACAGATATTTGTAGGCAGATCATTTTGAGTTTGCTCCAAGCTCTGGGCTTCCGGTACACCTGCGCCATGGTGTGGCGCCTCGCAAAAGCAAAGAGCCCCCAATCATGGATCTCCAAATGTTCCGCTTCTGTAAGTGCTTTGAGAAATAGTCTTGGATTTGCTGTTGCAGTTTACATTGAACACCAAACACTCAGTGGCCTGGGGTCAATGTCTTGGTGTGTGGCAGGCTTGTCATCCTGAGGAGACTCATGAAGACTCTCAGACGACTCGGAGATCGACGGCTCAGACGTCCTCCCAGCCCATGATGAACTGAGCAAAGTTGATGAATCGAGGCCTTCACAGTGCGAAGTTGTGTCGAAGCCGCCGAGGCTGCCATCAGCTCTAGGACCCGTTGGGCCCTACAAGATCCCTAGTAGGGCCCCGTACTTCTCTAGCATGCCCATCAAAGGGGACTTGAGACCATCAGCGGCAGAGGCTGGCACCTGGAGACCAGGAAGAATACAAAATGACGAACATATCTTAGAAGCATCTGGAAACAGCAAACGAGTTGCAACTGAACACAAAAATGGCGGCCACGCTGGTTTCCAAACTCAAGAGATCTCCAAAGCGCACTCAGACGAGCCTTGTGGATGTATTTTGCCCCCGAGAACAGGCCGGCCTCCTGGAACCTGCGCGGTGAAAGTTGTTAGAAGCGAGAAGCGATGCACATTTCGTCCATACACCGCATGATTGCGTCTTAGAATGAGTGCAGGTGGGAGCGATCTCAGGTCTAAACTGATACACATAAGTTCCTTCACAAGACTTCCACCTCAGGCCCGAAAAGGATACAGTAGATCCAAATTGAAAAGGAAAAGAACATGTCAAGTGCAAGGAAGGAAGTTACGACTGAGTCCACAAAAGAAGCTCGGACCAGATCATCGCACCAAGAGTCCGCCGCTTGATGCTGAGAATGGGACTCCAAATATCGGGAAACTCTGGTCTTCAAGAGAATTTTCACCTGGCAGGTGCCCAAACACTTGCGGAGCGTTTGCCTGTCTCATTGCAATGGTCAATTAGTGCCTGTGTTGCGCGATGTTCCAACATATTCTAAGCGTTTGGCTAGATCACCAGAGGCCATAATGAACTTTGGAATGAGATCCACCTGAATCACTCTGACTAAGTCTCACTGTACTTCAGGACCGTTGGGAGCCGCCAAGGCCACGACGTTCCACTCTCTGTTCTGCCCCAGCCTCAAAACGAACCACGTTCGCAGTGACATGGTCTGCGGTCTGTCACTGCAGCAATGGACCGCACGGCAGACCGTTGCACAGGACCGCACGCAGAATCCCTTTTGGAGACCCAGTCGACCACCTCAGCTCCTAGCTCTTTTGGAGGTTCGGAGCCAGGCACAAATTTCTGCCAAAGGTTGGTGATATTCAGAGATGCACACTCTCCACCTTAGAGCGGATGGTGCTGGTGCTTTCACAGCAAGAAATCTGAAGCCTCCCAAGTCGGTTCTTGGGACCAGGCCGTAGTAGGGATTTCGATCCAAATGCAGAACCTTCAGACGTGATAAGACCAAACGAACACAGCCCACAGGCGATGTGCCATGCTGCAATGCCTTCTTGCCATGAACTGAGAGGAGGCCGCTCAAGATGCACTCCTTGAGGCCTCAGCAACAAGCGCCAAAGTTTGTCGCAAATGAAGTCCAGAAAGCTACTCACGGTGAAGCCCGTAGAGGAGAGTTGTTGGCTTTGTCTTGTCAAATGTAAAAACTAAACATGCTCAGGCATTTGATGCAGGACTTTTTCCCGCAAGTCTGCAAACCTTCGACGCATCAGATCATGAGCTGCTGCAACCACTTTCCTTGTGCAAAAATGAATGAAAGAATCGAGCCACCAACACCCTGACAAACACGAATGAATTCAGAAGGCCTGTCGAGGAGATTGTGCTGCTCAAGCCTGGGTCAGAAGAAGTGGGAACTACATGAACTACATCCGTTGTGCAGGTAGTATCATCCAGCCCATCCAGCACCAATCACAAAAGCTGTGGAAGGGGCAAATCTCTGGCCACAGTGGAAAGTGGTGCAAAGCTCTTCGGATGGTCTCCAGAACTGCCTGGACAGGCTGTGGGCCGTCGGCAAATGTCAAGGACCTCAGTGACCTCACCAAATGTTGCCTGCGTGATGTGGGTTGCTGGGTGGTATCTCCATGTCAGGCAAAGAATCCAACTGGGCACACCTGTCCCCACACTCAACGTTCCTGCACAGTCGAGATGTCTCTCTTCCGCACTGCGCACTGCTTTCATGAAAAACCAAATGAGATGTCTCTCTCCTGCGGAAAGCATCTTGGAGAAGTAAACTGCTTTCATTTGGTGCAAGAGACAAATCAAGCACCTGAGGAACGAGACCAAGGCTGGAGATCTTGCATTTTTGCAAAGGCAATCGTCTACAAAGACCTACAAAGTGTATCAAAGATATCCAAATAGATTGTGCTGGATCTAGGGCTTCCGGCTTACGGTCTGCACGTTTGCCCCGGCTCCACTATCATGTGCAAAGTGTCGAGCATTTCACATCTAAATGACGTTGGCGATCTTGGGCGCCGCTTTGCTTGGGACCAACAAACAATTGCTTCTTGAAGCTTTCTGCCATGTGTATCCACATGTCTAGACTAGCTCTTAAGACCGGAAAAGCAGCCTCGAGCTCCCAGTGATGCCAAGATGCAACATCGAATCGTTGCAACATAGACAAGGCCATCTCGAGATCTGAATCATTGAGCGAACGTTTCAGGTGCCTTTCTCTCGGCCTTGGTTTCTCTTCTCGACAGCAGAATGAACTGAATAGTCTATGCCTATGCAAGTCTTCAGCTATCTCTCAATTTAGCTGTGTGAGTGCTTCTCTCTCAGGCATACAACTCAATCGAAGCTTGTGAGAGAATTGGCCAAGGGTGCGTCAATGTGCCGAGTTTATGTGTCCGGGCTTGCGTTGGTGTCCTAGCTATGTTTCACCAGGTAATGCATCACCAGCCTTCTTGGATGTCCCAACGTGGTCATGTTGTTGTTCTGTCATGTTTGTCACAGTGTTTCGGTCAGGTTCGTGATGCATCCTCTTTGGTCCTTGATTCGGGGTGCTGCTGCCTATGTTTGTGAGGTGCAAAATGCTGATGCAGGTATCGGTGCCTCGAGATGGGTGGTAAAGATGCCCCCCAAATGGGAAGCGCGAAACGCGAAGCGCGGTTGCTAAAGCAACCAAGCTTCAACAGGTGTCGAGTCAAGCAATTGCTCGCCTGCGCGATGTGATATCCTGCGCGATGTGATGGGAAATGGATGGAAATTGCTAGCCACTGCGCTGAGACAGCAAAGTGTGGAACAGCCCGCCTTTGTTGTACCCACGACAGCCAGGGACATGGCTTCTTTTGATGTGTTCAAATCGCAAAGGCGACCAAGCACCTTGAAAATCTGCAATCATGACTTGCACTGCAACCTTCCTTCACTGGTGAATGCTGGCTGCAAGCTCTGGCTTGGAAGCAATTTCCTGTGGGCCAAGAGACTGATTCCAGATGTACTGAGCCGCGGCCGAAGTAGAAGTTCTATGAACTTGGATGCCCAGTCCTTACGGAGCCGCAAGCACCGCAAAGACTGAACGATCGCTGTCCGTGCCCACATGAGGGGTCATCCAGCACGTCTGAGCCTTTCAGATCTGGTGCTCGGAAATGCTACCTGCTACATAGCCATTACATACATCTTGCCTAGTAACAAAAAGCTACGTACTAGTAGCCTCATTCTTCAATCTGAGGATGCTAGAGGCAGAGCTCTAATCATGCGCGGGGCTCTGATGTTTTGCCACTGTGATGTGTTCCATTCCTCCAACATTTCAGGCTTGGGGTTCTCAAAGGGTCTGCTGCGTCTCCAACATGAATGTGCCCCTCTCTCAAACGAGTTTGTCTTCATAATCTGCTGAGAATGAATTGCAAACCCCAGGCTCTTCAAAGCAGCGTCGCGAATGTCCCTCCGGCATCACATCAGCGTCGCCCTCCCTCTTGGATCTCAACCAGCCGCAGTTAGGCAAACCTCAAAAGTCAGTGAAAAATCGTTGTCCAATTCAGGTCTCTCGCTCCGCTCATATCCTGTCTTGCATGTAACTCTCGTCAAGCCCGCACTTCACACACACATTCACAAACATGCCAAACGAAAGTGTGCTGCAAACTCTTGTGTCACAAGCCGGTCCAATACAAAAAGAGAGAGGACACGTCGTCGTACATGTCAGCCGCAACATTTATTCATTGCTAAACTCAATTACACTACCGACCATACACTACCTATTTAGGGGGGCCCTATCTCGTTTAGACTCAGACTGCTTGAGTAGGAGGTCATGTCACAGTAGGAGGTCATGTCACAGTATCTGTACTTTAGTAGAAGATCACATGAAATCAGTGTCATCAAGAAAAGTGTCTCGTTTATGTGGGGTCCCAATCTCGTTCACCAGCAAATACTGATGTTGGACCAACATGTTGGACGAACAAATAGAGCATGCCGTAGACTACTTTAGTAAAGAATTAACAATAGTGGTTGCTCATGGAATTCCTGGGATAATTTTGAAACTGCAAAAGCTGCAAACCAGTTGCGGGAGCCAGGACTTTGTTGACTTACACTTACAATTGCTTACTTGGTTGTTTTAGTGGATCCATACATCTTCACTGACTTGTTTGCCGTACATGCCTGCAAGGCACATTTGATCTACCGGACTGAATTCAGCTCCCTGTGTGGAAGCCCAGTGTACAACTTGCTGGTCTAGCAGCTGCTTGCCAGCAAAGTGTTCTTGTTGTACTCATTTGCTCAGAACGTTTCATGAATGTCAAGTCCCAAGTGTATGCAACTAAAGTATATAGGTGAGGTCAGCCCCGTTTCTGTTCATAAATGACTTGACATCTGTGGTCTCCTGTTCAGCTTCACTTTCTTGCTGATCTGAGCAACACCACCGAAGCCATGACAGATAGCGCTCAATGGGATCGCGCCTTAAAAAGCAACAAGCCTGACCTGATTAAGGGCAACTCGCATGAAACTGCCAAGCTGAGCTGCACCAGCAGTATGGTTAGGTAGGAGTGCCAGAATCCTTTGGCAAGGTCCAGGTCTCTTGCCATTGCACCGTACCACCTCCATAAAGCCAGACAGACTGGAACTCTCAATCACCAGCCACGATAGTCAATACCAGCTTAACAAATCTTAACAGCTTGACTAGCAGGTGACACGATACTACCTTCACCTATAGCATGTTTCAACGTTCACCAAAAGATTGACAAAGGACGCAAGCGTTCAGAGCCTCTGAATCGCTGGTGATATGTTGCGTGGCTCAAAGCCATCATACCAATCAGTATAGCTCGGTTCCAGCGCGATGAAACCTCTTCAGTGGACTCAACGTAACAAAGACAAAGGTCTCAGGACTCATCGAACGCTCTATGAGTCGAGATGCCAGCTCCTCCAGCAAAAGCTGCATTGACCTGCTAAGAAACGAGGCAGTATGCGAGGTATGCACGCAGCTGGCCTCACTTTGCAGGCCTGATCTGCTCGCAAGGGGACATTCTGCTCAGGCAAACCTGCATTCGCATGCATTCGCAAAGCTCTTGTGACAATTCGTCATGCCAATGCCAACGCCTGGAAATTCATACCAACTGGAGGATTCAGCTCGGCAATTCTGCGCCTGAAATCGACCCGACGCTCACTTTTTGAGGAAACACATACCTAAGCGATTTGTCCAAGAAACTGATGAAGAGGAGCCACCACGTCCTCCCAGCAAGTACCACTTCGCTGCCACATCACATACACTGGTGCCACCAGTCCTGATGCTTTTGGGCTTTTGGGCGTTTCTCTGTTACTGGCAATTGGACTTATTTGTGTTGCATACCACCATGTATCCATCTATTCAAAAACTTAGCCAGTAAAGAACTGTGGCCAACCTTTTAAACTTAGCCGTTTCACCCTGAAAAACCTCTACACAGTCCATCTCCTCATCGGATGGAGCATGATGATAGGACGTCTGGACTGCATTGCGAAGGCACAGCGGGCAGCAAAGTGGCCCTTTGTTCCGGGTTGAGACAGCCTGAATGATTCAAGAGAAACATCCACAGCTGGATCGGTACATGTGACTGCAGGGTTGGGTTCGCAAGACTATGAACTCGACTTTTCTCTGGGCCTCCGACACCTGAACGGGAAGAGGAGATGCAACGTACCAAATCGCTGAGCTTGGTATTCGATAAAGTCTTTCAACCGCAAAGTACAAGTCTGTTTGAAAGCCTCAGTTTGCATGATTCCTCTGTTCTGCGTGGGGCTGGCAATAAAATGGCCATGGGATTGAGAGAAACGAATGTCCCAACTGCACAGGTTGTGCTCAAGTCAAAGTCATTGCTGGCTGTCGTTCTTTAGACCAGCAATGACTCAGGTGAGGAAAACACATTGGCAATCCCTCGAAACATCCGATGTTCAAGGCGAAGAGGCCACAAAGGTCGCTGGTGCCTTCTTGCAACAAAGACAGCATGCTGGTGTAATACCTCGCCAAGAGCCAAAACGGCACTGGTTGCAATTGCGAAGGCATTCGATTCTCGAGCCTCTCATGAATCACAAGGGCGTAGTTCCAAAGGGGAGTACACTTGAGACGACTCAAATGCTCAAAGGTCGCCTCCTGGGATTTGATGTCAAAGCTTCTGGGCAAAAAAAGCAAGCACAGGTACTTCAAGCATGTCTATAGGTAGCCGCTAAATTGAATCCGGCATCGATGTCATCGCAGCGAATCTCGCGTTCATTTCCTGGATGAGCAAAAAACTGACTGAGTTGCCCGTCATTGCCGCAATGAATGGATGATGGAGCCAAGCAGCGGCCCAGAACCACCACGTCAAATTCTTGCAGCTGCACCACCGCCTTTTCGATCACAACCGGAACAAAGAGCGGCACTTTAAACCGCTGTTACTTGAAATTGCGATCCGCTTGGCCGCTTGGCTTGTTCCTCTTCTTCTTATGAAGCAAATACAGCCAAACGGCCTGATGTCATGGGCCTTGTCTTGATCGAAACGCTTGGGCCTGCAAGCTGTCGATCAGGTCTCCAGCTTGCCATCGAACAAAGTCCTCCATCACCAGGCAGAAGGTTGCTCCAACTGCCCTGCATCGCCTCAGAGGATTGATTGACAAGCATGCAGCATACATACAAAATACGTTACATTTGCACAAAATGTGCTGCAAGCCTTTGGACAAGCCACTGTAGAATGTCAAGCTGCCGATCTGACAGCACAAAAGCTGCATCAAGCTGTTGGGTACAAACAGGCACCGCAACTACTGCAGGAACAATCTTATTCTTGTCGTTCAGCCCTGCCTAGACGCTCCCAAGCAACTTTCTCAGTCGGAAAGTCTTGCAAATGCAAGCCCTCTGCGTGCAGTTGCTTCAAGAATCCTAGGATGTCCAAAGCTCCAAAGAAGCATTCGGGATGAGAGCAATTCAATACAAAAGACTATTCAACCAGTCGAACAGGGAAACAGTACAATGTTCTCAGAAATGTATCTAGTTTCTATGCAATCGACCTTATTTGATGTTCTCATTTTTAACATGTGTTGCTGTTGGATGCAGTTGGCATGTTCCTTTACCAACCAAAGCTCGATGATGGCGGTGCTTGGCATTCTTGTGGACGACAAATCCACCACGCAGAGTTTCGGCAGCCGCCAGTGCCAGCAGAACTTGGGTAACTCCCGCGACAGCTTTTGCTCGGCATGACATACGAGTCCATGCGATTTCACTCTCGGTGGGGCCATTGGAAACGGATGTCTTGAGTCCATTTTGAAGTGCATGGAGTCTGGTGAGACATGACATTGCTCCTGCCGGCTTTGCTTCCGTGTCGGTCAGTCTTTTCTTGCCGTGCTGTGCGTTCTATGTGCTGCTGCTAGTGAGAATCTACAGCCTAAAATTGCCCACGCACATCCTGCTGCCAGCTGTTGCCAGAATCGGCAAGTCACCGAAAGCAAGCATTCAAACGAGGTCCGCGCCGGTACCACACACCACGACATCGTACTCCTCGTCCATCACAACGGCCTGTCAGGTCGATCCAGCATTAAGTCGTTCAAAAGCAAGCCATTTATCGGTTCTCAATAGTTCTCATATCATCTCATATCTATATCACCAAAACCAAATAAGAAACAATAGAGAATACAATAGAGTCAATAAAGGCAAGCCATTCAAAATATTTAACAGTTAAACGGTTAAACGTTGTTGAAACTTTGTTGGCGAGTTGAACTAGGCAAGTCCAACAGGATGAAAAGCCGCATCAGCCAAGACACAAACCATCTAGCAGAACAGCAGCTTAAAGAAGCATGTAAGTATATGTAAGTGACTCGCTGGAAGCAAAACGACAAGAGCAACCCGCATGTCGCGAAAGCACGGGCAAAAAGAGGACGATGCATGCAGCAAGGCACTATGATCAATGATGCACTTTGAAGCGAAGCTCTTAAGTGAAAAAGTGTCCACAGGATCACAGCCCCAAGCACAGAAGAGACTCGGTAGCAGTTGGGATCATGGCTCAGCACTTCAACCATCGAATACAAACTAGACTCCATATATTGCCAGGAATCAGCTCTCAGCTTCAACACACAGCCATGAAACCTGCACAGCTTTTTCCGGAAGTCGCCTGCTGACCCTCAACCAATGTCGAAGGGGCACCTTGCAAGAGAAATGTTACAAAAGCTCGGCTCTGTGCTGTTTGTGACATTTGCAGAAAAGATTGCCCGGGCCTCAACACCTCTGCAGCCTTCGATTGCTCTAAATTCAAGTTTTTGAAGCTCAAATGGGGAGCGGAGTGCATGGAATGTATAGGGATTCCGTGAGGCTTGAATTGATGTGATTACTCGATGCAAACTGCCAAACTTCTCCGCAATCTTTTCTCGTGCGGGAGCTCAAAACCAGAATCAATAAATGGACCTTCTCAGCCGACCATTATCGGAACGCGGGACGCTGAGCTTCGCTAAAGCGTCACCCAAGGACTCCTATGCAACAATAAATGTAGAGATAGACCGTGCCGGTGCCTCACAAAGGATTGAGGTGACAGTCAAATGCATTCATTTATTCTTGCTTTGAGACTCTGCAAAGAAATCACTCCGAACAGTTGTCCCACCCCAAAAGAAAGCGGGCAAATGTGATGGCAGATCTGTCTAAGCCCCAGAGAAACAACAGAATCCTATTGTTGGCATTTGTTGGCCTCCACATGCGCAGCTCCTGACCCAAGGACCTACACAAAATGACAAGACGGCAATGAATCTGGTTTCAAACATTATATAAAGTAAACAAAACGTAAAAATGGTACAATATGAAGGAAGAAGGTAAGGACCCCTTTGATGAGGACCCTTTCAAGCTGGACTCATGAGTTGGCCTTCAGCCAAAAGTCAATATCATCATCGCTCTGGTTCATGACCACAACCACTAAGCCTGCAGCAAAAAATATGTTCACATTAGTGCTGAAACTCCAAACCTCTCTGATGATTCATCATCGGAAGAGTACAGTATAGGCGTAGTTGAATATAGCTGGGTTCAGAACTTCCATCGACATTCACCCAAGAAGTCACCTCACTCCAGCACACTGCTTGAGACAAAAACCATTCAGGCTGCAAATGCGCAGAGATTGTAAAATGCTCTAAAGCACTCTTGGGCCTCCAAAACATCCCGGCTCGTGCTGCTGATCGCTCTACATGCTCCGGGCTTAATGTAGCGGGAGAAATGTCCCAAGTACCTCGTCTTTCAATTGCTCCTAGTAGCTTCTTGCTACTAATAGAAATGCACTTGTTACAAGTAGCGATGCACTTGCTCCTAGTAGCTTCTTGCTCCTTCAACAAATGTCCCTTGGGAAATAATGAGACTGTCCGTGCAAGTTGAAGCAACGCCCGGCGCACCAGAAAGACGGCTGTCTCAAGATCTCATCACTACGAGTGTCGCAAATGATCGGTGCAGAACCTTGTTTTGCAGAACTCGAGGTCCTTTGAATCTTACAAGCGTATGTTTGGTCGTTCAAGCCTTGGCAAACCTAGAGAAAGCCACCAGAACATCAAATGCTTTTGCATCCAGCACCAGATTCACCAGAGTTCCCTTACTTACAGCTCAGGTCTAAGCAAAAATTGCCCACGTGATTTGGGCCGCCTCCAAGGAATAGACTTTGAATATCTTTGAATGGCATCTACCGATGTTTAAGTGGGCAATTACTATTACCATTCATGAAACCAAGAAGGAGCTGAAAGCCTCGTGTCATGAAACTAAGACGTGGCAGCTTTTTTGATAAAGCCAACCGAACAAAGTGGAGCTTCAAGCACCTCTCTCATCAAGGCATAGGTTCCAATCAATCCATCCTTCAACACCTAAGCTCTCCAGATCAAGTGCGTGAAGCAAGAGAAAGGCATTGCTGTGCAAATGAGATCGAACGAGGCCTTTACCATTGTTCATGTCAGAAATGATGTTCATGCCATACCTGCAAATCTCAATCTCAAACTGCAAGAAGCACAAGAAGCACAAGAACAGTGACTACTTCCCGCTGCCTTTCGCCCAGTTTCCACACCTCGACTCAAATCTGACCTACCTTTCCCTACACCCGGTGTCGGTCTTGGTCCACGACACCGAGCATCTGCTCCAAGCTGCGTCCAGAGAGCTCCTACAAGCAGAACTTCCGATGTGTAGCTTGGTAGAACAAAACCCCAAAAGGGATTCCAGAAATGCAAAGTCTCACGGCTCGCGTAAAAATTGTTTGGCTTCAGCCGATGACTCAGGGTGTCAAGAATGCAGGTGAATCGATCCTTTGACCCAATAGTGTTGAGACTTGTTGAGTTCTCCCCCATGAAAACTTCACAGTGCAAGCAGGCATTGAGCTGATCCAACGAGCTGAACGCCCCGTACATGCCCAGCACGCCCGGATGCCTGGCAGCCTTCTGTGAAGAGAATGTGCTTGTCAGGTCGAAGCCTGCAGTTTGTTGTCGAGCCGGCGCTTTTTTAAACTAAAAAAACTGCGATGGATCAACGACACAAAACGTCTTCTATATGTCCTTTGAAGCTAGGGGAAGAGGTCAGTTCATGACTGCGGATGTACAAATTCATGTGAACACATTCACCATCATGCAGAGCATCGCAGAAAAAAAAGGGGGTTAGACCCTTGCCACTTGCACTAGCTCATGGAAATAGGAAACATCCCGTTCTATTCCGCGCAACATAGGCCCCAACTCCGCGACGCGGCGCACGTTGTCAAACCCAAGCCTGTCAAAGTCCGGGTTGGATCTCGGACCAGAGACCAAACGGACGAGGCACAAAAAGTGAGCCCTAGTGAGCCCTAGTGCCTTGCTCGCAATTCGTGAACGGCTTCCTCTTCATGCTGGCGGTCCTGTGCAACAACCCTTCCAGTTTCTTTGTTTCCTTATCTTTCCTTGCATCTAAACTTGGAGTGTGAAACGACTTAAACAATTGTTTCGGGCCTCAAACTCAATCTCGTAGCTTTCAGGCCATGTTTCGAAGCGGCTGTCTCCATACCTGAAGACAATGCAGCATGTAGCAGCTCATGGACTGTGATGTATTGGAGCACCAGTGATAGCCAAGCCCCCAAATGAACCTCAGCCCAAAGCCAGCAGCCAGAGCATGTTCATTGTTTGCTGCAAACCGGTCGAGCTGTTTTATCGTGAAATGATCAGCTTGGATCGGCTCTTTGCAGCACTCTCGTCCGCGTATGCCACAGCAGCGCGCTCCAGCCTCAAAACAAAAGTCCTAGCAAAATGCATCACTGCGTTGCGCTGTCGCTATCCGTTTGTCGGGTTGCTGAGCTCGGCACATACCATCTCCTAGGTAAATGCGTTCACTGACTATGGTTCACGATTCGGAACTTGGCCAAGGCTGCCGAGGCACGGTTGTGATCCCAAATGATGATCTTGACTTTGCTCAAATCCGCTGCCTCACGGCATTGCTCAGTTGCTCCTGTTCTCCAGTCATGCAACTCGCACAAGCCTCTAAGGCAGGCCCCAAATGGTCTCGTACAAAATCTCGCTCCTCCTGCATCTTTAAAATATTACAGCTGTTCAGTGGTTTAATTATTCGGGAATCATCCTCTGCTGTGTAGATGCAGGATTCCCAGATTTGTGCTGCCTGGGAGATCGCTTCCATGCCAAGCTGATGCTTCAAAATTGACAACTGAGTTCGTTTTGAACCTTGCCTCTGGCTCATTTTGAACCTTGGATGTCCAGTCTTGACTGCGAACGGCTCAGAAGAAGTTTCAGGATCGCACAGAGACGGCCCAGATTGGGACACCCTTCTTTTCCATCTCCTGAATGAAAGAAAACATACAAGCAGTTCCCGGGCAAGCCGGCGGCGGAAGTTTCCTATAAGAACAAACTGACCTATAGGAGTGCCCCGGTTCTTTCCACCATGCGTGTCCCTCGTGTCCGTCAGTCAGAGCTGCTAGAGCTAACTGGAGCTAGAGCTATTGAAACTAGAGCTAGCTGGAGCTTGAGCTATTGAAACTAGAGCAAGTGATGATGATGATGATGATGATGATGAGTGATGAGTGATGAGTGATGGGTGAAGCATAGCTCTAGCTCTAGCTCCACGAAAGCTAGCTGGCGCTAGATGTGATAGTTTGTCTTAACGGACAGTACTCGAAATGAGCACTTTTAAGTAAGCAAGTTAGCAAAAATTTGTCAACCTCTCAAGAGAGCCGGGTGGCCGGGGGAGATGACTCAGCTGCAGCGGTGCCAGAGCAGCCGCGAGAGATGACTCAGCCGCGAGAGATAACTCATCCGCGTACTAAGCCCAGATACTCCGCGTACTAAAGTTGTACCACAAAGTCGCCAGTTCTCAGCTTCCAGCTCCCCAGATACTCCGCGTACTAAAGTTGCACTACAAAGTCGCCAGTTCTCAGCTTTCTCAGCTTCCAGCTCCACAGATTGCTCCGCGTACTAAAGTTGCACTACAAAGTCGCCAGTTCTCAGCTTCCAGCTTCCCAGATACTCCGCGTACTAAAGTTGTACTACAAAGTCGCCAGTTCTCAGCTTTCTCAGCTTCCAGCTCCACAGATCGCTCCGCGTACTAAAGTTGCACTACAAAGTCCAGCCTCCAGCTCCCCAGCCTACTCCGCGCACTAAAGTTGCACTACAAAGTCGCCAGTTCTCAGCTTCCAGCTCCACAGATTGCTCCGCGTACTAAAGTTGTACTACAAAGTCGCCAGTTCTCATCTTCCAGCTCCACAGATTGCTCCGCGTACTAAAGTTGTACTACAAAGTCGCCAGTTCCGGGCTTCCAGCAGGTTCCTCCGCGTACCACAGTTGCACTACAAAGTCACCAGTTCTCAGCCTCCACCTCGCCAGATTACTCCGCGTACTAAAGTTATACTACAAAATCGTCAGTTCTCAGCTTCCAGCTCCCCAGATGCTGTGCCTGCCACAAAGTGCTGTGCCTGCCACGAAATCTGCACACGCGCTGCGCCTGCCACTGGAGGTTCACAAAGCGCTGCGCCTGCCACGAAATCTGCACATGGAGGTTCACAAAGCGCTGCGCCTGCCACGAAATCTCGGAGGTTCACAAAGCGCTGTGCCTGCCACGAAATCTGCACCTCGAGGTTCACAAAGTGCAGTGCTGCGCCTGCCACGAATTCTACACATGGAGGTTCACAAAGCGCTGCGCTGTGCCTGCCACGAAATCTGCACCTCGAGGTTCACAAAGCGCCGCGCCTGCCACGAATTCTGCACATGGAGGTTCACAAAGCGCTGCGCCTGCCACGAAATCTGCACATGGAGGTTCACAAAGCGCTGCGCCTGCCACGAAATCTGCACATGGAGGTTCACAAAGTGCTGCGCTTGCCACGAAATCTGCACTTCAAGAAACAAGTGAAAACTCTAACCACAATGGAGGGACGATTCCGAGCATGATCCAACCATGACCCAACCATGACCCGAGACCGTCTTGCACACGTCGTTCCGCAAAGCTTGACTTGCCAGCTTCGGAGCCACCCTTTCTATTGAAAAACACAGCATTTCGCGTCCGCTATCTCTCGAACATGCATTTTGTATTGCGCCTGCCACGAAATCTGCACATGGAGGTCACAAAGTGCTGCACCTGCCACGAACTCTGCACATGGAGGTTAAAAGTGCTGCGCCTGCCACGTATACTGGAGCTAGAGCTGTTGAAACTAGAGCTAACTGGAGCTAGAGCTATTGAAACTAGAGCTAACTGGAGCTAGAGCTATTGAAACTAGAGCTACCTGGAGCTAGAGCTATTGAAACTAGAGCTAACTGGAGCTAGAGCTATTGAAACTAGAGCTAACTGGAGCTGGAGCTGTTGAAACTAGAGCTACCTCGATCTAGAGCTCTCGAAACTAGAGCTAACTGGAGCTAGACCTCTTGAAACTAGAGCTAACTGGATGATGAGTGGTGCATGATAAGTGGTGTATGATGAGTGGTGTAAGCTAAGTGGTGTATGATGAGTGGTGTATGATAAGTGGTGTAAGCTAAGTGGTGTATGATGAGTGGTGTATGATGAGTAATGTATGATGAGTGGTGTATGATAGGTGGTGCGTTGATGAGTGGCGTATGATGAGCGGTGTATGATAAGTGGTGTATGATGAGTGGTGTATGATGAGTGGTGTATGATGAGTGGTGTATGATGAGCGGTGTATGATGAGTGGTGTATGATGAGTCGTGTATGATCAGTGATGTATGATGAGTGGTGTCTGATGAGTGGTGTATGATGAATGGTGTATGATGAGTGGTGTATTGAACAGCTGTTGAATGTCCGTAACACGGAAGTTTTGCACACTAAACTTCCTTTGATCAGGGTTGCTTTCCTAAATATCTGGGAACCAAATCATTAGCGCGAGCCCTTCTTCAAGGAAGCTCCCCCCTGGTGCTTCCTTAAAGAAGCGTGAGCTATCCTGCGTCCATATGTAAGTAGCTTGCTAGTTTGCTAGGAGCGAACTAGTTTCTCCCTTGCCTAAAAAAGTAAATATAGTGTATATATATATATATGTATATCTCATATATGCGCTCCGCAAGTGCGCCTGCACAAATCGAACAAAGTGATGCGACCAGACCTTGTAGCCTCGGTGAAGCGGAAATGCCCAGCCAAGGTCTGAGAGTGTCTGAGAGTCTCTGAGAGTCTGAGACTTCTATAGTTTGGCTGCGGACTACAAAGTCTGAGACTAGTCTGTGTCAACTGATTTGGCAGCTACATACAGTGCCCATTTGTCTTGCTAAAGGCAGCTCTGGGAGTCTTGCAATCCGGACGAAGATGACCATCACCATTGAACTCTGTCTTTGTCCTCGGTAAAACATCTTCCTGTGCACAGACAACATCACAATTTACCCTGCTACTCAATCTGCAACTTGAACCTTAGGATCCCCTGACCCCTCAAGAACACTTGCAATTGAGATGTAAGAAGTCAAAGAGTCAAAGGCACCCCTTGCGGACAGCTCTTCTTCTCACAAGTGCTTTGCATGTTCTTCACGGTGAAGTATAGGGTTCCAGCGTTGCGCTTCACTTTGGAGTCGCCCATGACAAACCAACAAGAATCGACGCAACCGTTCGCCTACCGTGTAGGGCCCGGCTCACCAGGTGGCCCGGCTTCATCCAAGGTGGTGGGCTCCATGGACTCGCCAAAATAGAGAGGGGCCCTGCCACCTGAGGACGTCAATAACCAGCGGTTTCAGATACCTTTGAAAGACAGCAACAAAAGAAAACAACGGGTAGTCCATGTTAGTCTTACCTCCTTGCCCACAATTTAGAAAGTATGGGCAGATGGCAGGGTCTGCCAATCAAAAAGCCTAGCTCCGGGCTTTGATGGCATCATGCAGTGTGGGCAGTATTGACGCCTGCCAGCACAAAGCCCATTGGTCGCAGTCGCAGCTATCCATTGTGCCTCCCTATAGTCACCTCATAGTGCTCCAAAGTGAAGCCGTTCAAATCATGGTCTTCCTCTTTTAAGTCACCACAGGTCCTGTCAGAATGAGGCAATGCTGCATGCTGCATGCTCATCGAAGTTTCACGACACTGGCATATGAGTTTAGTGGAAGAGCAAGGAGCACAATATTCCAGCTTCTTGTTCCTAGTAGTTCGAGTAGTCATGCCAGGGGTTACGTTCGTAGCTTCTTGCTACCAGCGACGACGGAGCACCTCTATTTTTCGGACGTGGCAGGGTGTTTTCACCGTCGCATCGGTCCAGTGGCCCAGACCGAAGTCACAGGAACCGATGGAAACCCTGCCGAGGTTGTAGGCTAGTCCTGCCTGGCAGCGAGCGCAAAGACTTGCATGTATTTGTTTCAGAGAAAAAGACACATGCTTGCACTAGTAGAGTTCATAGGAACCGGAAGGAGTGAGAGTCTAGCTGCCCTTTCGAATGAAAAATCCTCAGACATCCAAAGCCGGCTCCTCCTTGTCAAAGCACGCCTTCAAGACCTCTCGCTGCACAAAGTACCAGAGCATCGAGGCCAAACAAAACCAAAAACAGCAAACTACCAGACCTCATCTCTCTTTGCAGGGCTGAGCTTCCGAAGAGTCTCTGTAGCTGCCTGCAAAGAAGCTGATTTACTCCAATCCAAATACAAAAAAACAGTCGTAATCATTAAGGTCCCCTTTAATACTTTAATAAGGCCCGGCCCAAACACCTTCGTGTTCCCTTTCTCAAGCTGACCCCTTTGCCCGCCTCTGTGAAGCTCCCGCCGAAGCCAAGCCACGACCTTATCAAGTGCACAGCACGCGGCTATGTCGTTGGTCCGAAAGGGAATAAGGTTGAATAAACGTCGATACTCAATGATAAATCCTTCTTCAGATTAACCATCCCTCTGGCCATTTGCAAAGTCTTGAGAACGAACATTATGCCAGGAAATCTCAGTCTACTTTGCTCTCCGTGCACAGAGGTTCCTAAAATAACGATTCAGAAGTCACCGCCCTATACCGCCCTTCTGAACAGCGCAAATCGCTGTCGAAACGGGCATGTTCAATCCTCCGCGCTAAATGTTGCTCACCTGCCTTGGTATAGTTCGCGATGGGGTCACGAAGACAGATGAAGCCTAGCAATCTTCCGCTCCCCATGTATTCGTAACTCTGTGTCTCAATCAGGTTCCAAACTGATCAACTTCTGCACACACTCTCTCTCTCTCTCTCCCTCCCTCCCTCCCTCCTGCCCTCCCTCGCTCCCTCCCTCCCTGTCTCTCTCTGTGTCTCTCTTGATGTCTCTCTCTGACCTGAGAACCTCCTGATTCATCTGCACCAAGCGCGCACTCTCCAATCCTGCATCTTTCAGTGCATATATTCAATGTGTCCCACACCAATAGCACGTGGCGAGCCTATTCCAGGCTTGCGTGTCACCTTGTTTTGTCCGAATCGTCACAACCTTAGACGCTGCATGAGATGCTTGTAGATTACGAATTTTACAGTAAGTCGGCCTAATCAATGAAGGTCCTGTCCGGTCAAACAACCTGGGTCAAATGATTGGGCTTGAAGATCTCAAGCGAACTTTGCGGTTGGAGGGAAGTTGTTGAGGGACAAAAAAATGCCATCACTTTGGAACTCTGGGAAACAAATTCCCTCTGCTATTGCTGCGGATTGTACTTCTGGGAACCAAACCCTGGTATAAGCCTTAGCAAGAGTGCCAAAATGTCAGCGCTGCACATCAAGCGGAGGAATCATGTGGATCAACCATGATCAAACTATCCAAATCGACGGTCACCGAGGTCCAAGCCATTGCTCGGAAGCGCTTGGCTTCACTCTCCATGCCATGTGCCGAAAAATGGCGTGCAGGAAGTGTCACTTGATACATCTTGCTACATCCTGATACAAGGAATCAATGGATGACTTCAGTAGTTGTAGTATGTTGTTGTTGTTGTCAGCGTCTGCGGTTGCCTGGCCCTGTGAGTTTTCTTTCAAACATATTACGTATAGTTTAAATATGATGCAACTTCTGGAAGCTAGAATGCTAGACAACACCTTGGATGTCCTTCAAACTTGTTGATTCTGGATGACAAGTTATATAACGTGTTCTCGTAATATGAGCCCTATGGCTTCAAGGTTCCAACTATAACAACTTGCAGGCGTTCAACTTCCCTTTGCAGTGTGGTCGCATCAACGGTCTGCACAATGAAGCGCTGAACAGCCATGTTTACCTTTGGAGAGCTCATTGAAGAAAGTGGATCTCGTCTGCAACATTGGAAGAACGACATGAAACTACGGAAATTGTGTCTGAAGTGGAATCTTTGATGAAGCGCGCATGAACCAGCACACAGGGCTTCTTGTGGCTTGACCTCTCTCGGAAAGTCAATGATAAGTGTGCAGTATTCTTGTGACAGCTTGGTGGCCACAAAATGTTGCCGACTCTGCATGCGTGCAACGGTTCTAACCTTCAGCTCTTGGATGTTGTCCTTTTTTCGGTTTCTATGTTCAATTGAAGGGCTTCTGATCACAACTGTCACTTGGGTGTTTCTTACTTTGGCAGTTCGTTTTTGCAGCACCTTCAGTGCACAGGTGATCAAAGGTGAGTGGCCGAGCAGTCTCTTCGTATCTTTTCGTGAGTCTGGTGCTGCAACGCTTGCCTGGAGGAAGTTAAAAGCCTGAACCAACCTGAACAGGCGTCGACCACTCTATTGGCTATACCGCTAATGACCTGCACAAAGCTTGGCGGCTAGAACCGCACTCAACCAATGCAATGGCTGAGCTCTAGAGTTGCACTGTTTTCGTCCACACATCCACCAAGTCAACAAACGAGCTGCTTTCAGAAGCGAAGAAGAAGAGGAAGAAGAACGAGGAGCACAAAGAGTATACGAAAATGGCACATGCAACGCTCCCATTCGGGAGCAAATTCGGTGTCGACGTCAGGTCGAAACCATGTTCAACCTTGACATCGACCATCTATGTAAAGTTGTGGCCCGATTGGTGTTTAGGTGTAAATTAGAACACCAATTGGAACCAAGCCCTTAAAACTCAATCTCGCTAGATCAATGTACTTTACACTCTCAATTTCGCCGCCGTCCCTTTCGGCGCTTTCCCGTGTCATCCCGCCTCGGGCTGCGCTGGAATCGGTAAGCAGTAAAGAGCAATTCTGAGTCTCACAACTAGGAGCAAGGACGCTACTAGGGGCTCCTGGCATCGCTGCTAGTAACAAGAAGCTACTAGGGGCTCCTGGCCATACTACTAGGAGCAAGAAGCTGTTAGGGGCTCTGAGTCTCACAATGCTTAAGGCGAAGACTTTGCTTCCCCTGCGGGCCACCAATTCACATGGCATATCGTTAGGTCTTATCAGCTTTCAGGACACAAGTGAGCTCTCAACTCTGTTGCACGCAAATAAGGGAAGGAAAAGAAATGACTAAGGAAAGCCAATATACCGCCGGTACAGCTACAACATCCATGTTCAAAAAAAGCACCATTGGCGAACACCGGCCAAAAACCCACCTTGCGCTGCACTTGAGCACCTGGCTGCGAAAAGCCATGCTGGGTTGACCAAGGCACCCACACCGCTGCATAAGGACAGCGCCACAAAGTCTTTTCGTTTCCCAGGAGCCCCTAGTAGCTTCTTGTTACTAGTAGTATGGCCAGGAGCCCCTAGTAGCGTCCTTGCTCCTAGTAGTAAGGCCAGGAGCCCCTACTAGCTTCTTGTTACTAGTAGTATGGCCAGGAGCCCCCAGTAGCGTCCTTGCTCCTAGGAGTGTGGCCAGAAGCCCCTAGTAGCTTCTTATTACTATTAGTATGGCCAGGAGCCCCTAGTAGCGCCCTTGCTCCTACGAGTATGGCCAGGAGCCCCTAGTAGCTTCTTGTTACTAGCAGTATGGCCAGGAGCCACGAGTAGCTTCTTGTTACTAGTAGCGATGCCAGGAGCCCCGAGTAGCTTCTTGTTACTAGTAGTATGGCCAGGAGCCCCTAGTAGCGT